GTTAATATATCACATATTGGTCATTGTTTGATGAAATGCGTGATTAAAAAATTGTGAATCCCAACAAATATATAGTTAAAATCTAAATCAAAGTCTTTATTTGATTTTTCTTGCATGTTTATTATTTATTATCTCTTCTATTAAGTGCTTGCGTTTAGCGTTTGAAAATTCCAAAGTATAATACATAACATATATGACAACTTAAGAAACTTCGGGATCTATTAGCTTTTTTAGAACGTTCAGGACCTAAGTGCAAATTAGAAAGAACCCTGTTAATTGAGAAAATATTTCTCATAGTGCAAATTTAGAAATTATTACTCGTGAAAGTTGATTTTGGATAATTTAATGAATTCTATAAAATAAGAACTAAAGTTTGTGAGAAAGCTTAAAGAACCATAATTTGAAGTCTTGAGAATATTGTAAAGATGACCAGTAAAAAAAAAAGAGTGGGTTTCATATGTTAAACCCAAGATTTGCCCATAATGCATAAAGTACAAAGTTCAGGGACTAGATTACAAATGGTGAAAAATGTTTTTTTCAAACGAGAACATGACAAGTCAAGATTATTTAGTAATGAGAATGATCATCGTATAGCAAGTGTTACGATTTGGGAGCTTTTTTTTTTTTTATAAACTTTTAAAATATTGAGGTATTAAAGTAAAAATAAGATTCGAGATCAATAATTTATTAGGGTCAAATGTGTAATTATTGAAGGAGCGAGAATTGCTTTATCAATATTGAGTTCTTTTCAAAACTTATATTAAGCTTGTGTTTGACACCCATTATTTTTTAAAAAGTTTTTCATTTTCTTAATTATAATCACACATTCTCCAAATAAAATAATATTACATATAAATCTAAAACTATTCATTATTTTTCAATCACACATTTTCCATCAATCACTATTTCACGATTTATAACACACCCAAAATGGATGCTATGCCAAACACATGCTAAATAGTGCATCTTGAATACCAGGAAAAATTAATTTGGATAACCCAAATTTGAGCTATAGCTCATTAACTATAGTTAAATGAACATTGAAAGAACGGATGAGTTTACTAGTTGACCATGGTTAGATTATTAAAATATTATAATCCTCATTTGACTATGATTAGAATGGTCTGATTTTCCAGAAATTGAAAATAAAAAGTAGGGCTGGGCCTAATTTCCTCTAATAAGGGGGGCCATTTATAACCTAGTTAGGTCTTTTTGGTGTAATCATATCCAACTATAATAAGCCCAATGTGCAGAGGGGAGAAACTACTTCTCCCAAATGGTTGAAGCGTTTCACGTGAAGCCCAATTCTGCACATTGCTGGTGCATAGCTAATCTTATGGCCAATGTGGGTCTAGTGCAAGAGGCCGTGGATGTGAACTTTTGAATATGTAGCTATTTAAATTCACAAAATGGAAGAACTTTAAATGGGTAGAAAAATTACTGTGTGTATTCATTATTGTTTTTTCTCTCTTACTGAAATAATTACATTGCTTGAACATTTATATTACACAGGAAGGAATTAAAAATCCAAATAGAATCTACGCTATACAAATACACAATGCACCAGAAACGCAGTTTCATGTAACAATTTTTTTGAGACCAACTTGTATTTTAGAATGCCTAGCTGCCTCTCTTCTAGATGATTATCAACTTGTTGACCTGTCAAGGGCAGCTGGCTGCAGGTATGCTGATGCGTACTCTTCTTCAATTCCTTGCTATCCAGCTCAGCTGATCTTCTGTCTAATTGAGCAGCTTCACTTTTATTCCTTAATAGTGGATAATATAAAGGAGCGTACCGGTTGACAAGGATGTGTCTCCAGAAACCTCATTATGGGTGTGAATTCTTGGCTCATCTCGTTTTCAAGGGGATCTGAACATAGGGGAACAAATTGCGAAAAAAATAATTGAGCCAGATCCTCAGAATTTTTCATACTCCATGTTGCTAGTTAATGTTTACGCTGTACTGATGTTGCTGGTAATTGGGAAGAAGTTTCTAGGACGTGGGATATGACGAAGGAGAGAGGAATTAGAAGAGTTCCAGGTCACGTTTAATTTTGGGATTTTTTGTCATCACTGAAAAAACCCAGAAAAAATTGGAACTGGAGTCAACCGAATTGTATATAATTGCAACTTACAAAAATACCTTAAAAATTACGGATATTTTGAAAAATCATAAGAAAAATTTTTGGAGGTAAAAAATACTGTGTAAAATTAGATGCCACCCTTTTTTATTAAAAAGTGACACGATGTGACATTTTGTCACTTCTTAAAGTTCAGTCTCGCTTTTTTAATTAAACAACAATATATAATGTCACTTTTATTAAAAAGTGAAGTATGTTACTCAACAAAGTGACAAAAATTTCAACAAAAAAAATAGAAAAAAGTGACAAATGCTAAAAAAAAAAGTTCAGCAATTAAAAAAAAGAAAGAAAGTGACAAACACTTTAAAAAGTGACAATTTTTTTTTTTTTTTTTTTAAAATATAAAAAAAAAAAATAACAAAATTTAAAAAAAAAAAAAAAAAAAAAATATAATAAAAAAAAATTAAAAAAGAAAAGTAACACAACTACTGTCCATCATCTTTCTTCATTCACTACCAAGCATCCTTAAGTTATTTTATCGACAAAACATCGAGCACCTTTAATTGAATTCACCATGATCATCATCTACCAACTCAATCAATACTACATTGTCCAATGATCTGTCACACTATATTCCTCATCCAACTCAGTACTCTCCACACCCTTTGAGTCATCATCATAGTCAATATGGTCATCAACAATTGAGCTTCCATTACCCAATTCTTGCTCCACACTAAAATTTCAAAATTTTGTATAAACATATTGCATAAACCCCAATGCACCTGGAACTTGGAAAGATTTTAGCATAAGAGTCGCCCATAATAGTTTCACACGATCTCCTCGCACACGATAGCACACTGCAACTTTAAACAATTCATTGAGCTCCTCTTCTTTTGCCTCCTCCTGTTAATTCTCCCCATTCCCCCTCCAAAAGAGGGGGCAATCAATCAATAATAAGGTAAAATATAATCCTCAAAACATACTGAATGAGTTTAAAGCATAAAGAATTGGATACTGAGCTTTTTCCTACCGGAATAAGGTTCCTCACTTAAATCAGCTCACCGAAACTGAACCATTTTGTTCTTTCTTAATCCCCAAAAAAATAAGAAAATCTAATTTCACATAATTTCCCAAAAAAATCACAAATCCACTGAGCAAAGCAAGCTGAGCAGACATCGAAGGAGAATAAAGCAAATAGTCTTGAGCAAGTTGAATACATATAGATACATACGTATATTTAAATACATATACACGAGGAGAAGAAAGAAAATTCTTTCATGAATCAACTATTCCTTTTTCCCCAAAACCTCAAGTGACGAAGTCCGAAATTCTTTGGGTTCAAATTCAAATTCGGGTGTAGTAGAACGGTGACATTAATTGGGTGAGATGGCTTCTTTGGAAGCTTCCTGAAAGTTCTAAAAATAAGGACTGATTTGGGTTTTTAGGGGTGGTTTTGATAGTTTTAGAACGTATTAAATACGTGATTAAATCATTTAATTAGTTAATAAGGTATTAATCAAATTAGTTATTTTTTTAGGGTATTTTTTATAATGTATTAATTAAATTAGTTATTTTTTTAGGGTTTTTTACCTAATTAATTTTTTTTTTTTTTTTTTTTTTTTTTTTTTGTTTTTCAATTTTAAAATTCTTTTTGTCAATTAATTTTGTTTTTGTTTAAACTCCTATTCCGTTTAGTTATTTATTACTTCCAAACTATTCCGATGTAAACCAGACATTCACTTTGCTGAAATTCCAATCCTGAAGAAGATTATGAATTAGCCCGCCGAAACACCGCACCGCCGCCGCGCTCACATCCCAAAACCCTAACCTTTGCAGGTAATTTTTGTCCCTTTTGATCCTTCAAGCACCCATCTGGGAAAAAAAATTATAAGCAGCACTTTAAAAAGCTTCTGACTTCAAAAACCAACGGAAAGTAATTTGGTTGCCTCAAGGATTAAGAAGCAGTTTCATGCTTTTATCAAGGTAAAAATCTATTCTCTATCCCTTTTCTTTACGTCTAAAAAGGGTAAAAATTGTTTAGTAATTTTAAGGGCATATGAGCGAATTTTTTTCTTTGGCTATTTTTGTTTCGAAGATCATCTTTTTGGAATCAGGCATACGTGAATGATCATCAAATGAGAAAAAAACTGCAAATAAGTTCTCATAAGACTTGTTTATTTACAAGTTTAGCATTGTGGAATTAGAGTGTAATAGAGTGAGCAATGGAAAATTTCTTGTTTCACAATAATAAAGCGAGTTTCACAAGTATGAGTTGTGTTATTTTCATTAGAATATATCAGAAAAATTAAAATTTCATAGATTTTCCTTATATAGGGTTAACAATGTAATTAAAAATAACTACATGACTATCCAAGAACATTGATGAAGATGTAATTACTTCACCACCCATTAAATCACTGCATTTCATTGTAGTCTTTTTAGGATATGTGTTCTTTTCATTAGAACACAATGTGAACAACATTGAATCGCAATGTGAACAACATGTTAATGAAATCTTTGTTGTAATATTTTGGATTTGTTTGTTCCATGACACTGCCTTAATCAGTTAATCTGTGTGATATTACACTAACACCAACACCAACTTATATAAAAAAAATCCTTTTATTATTCACAATTTTTCGGCATGAAATAGAAGCATTTAGATTATTATGTCCAACTCTAGATGATTTAAATTGACATGAAATATAAGATCGATCACATTACTTGCTAATATTCTATATTTCCGTTTTTGGCAAACAAGTGTGACTTGCAGTGGCATTTATCGACTTTTATAATTGTATAAAAAAATTATTGTATTGACTTTCTTAAGTTTCAGCCCCCTTTATTGAAAATTCTGGATCCATCCCTGGTTAATATTGAAAACTGGCTTATGCTAATTAGAATAACTGTCTAGATACAATGCCAGGAAGATTGGAACGGATATGCCACGTATGTGGGGCTGTTGGCTTCAACAACAGCGATGATGGCTACTTTTACTGTGTGCACTGCGGGTCCCAAGCTGATGATGTCGTTGCTACCGGCGTTGACGAGGAGGATCTCTTTGAAAACTACTCTGCCATTCACCGGCGTATCCGTCCAATTGCATCGGAACCCATATCTCAGGTAAAACTCACCCAGTCTCAGCATTTGGACCATTATGAAATCCCGGAGGATAATATTGATGATTATGATGGTGATGGGATTGGACCTAATGGGCCGAGCGATTTTGGATCGAGTCAAAAGAATTTGAATTATGATGATTATTATACTGAGATTAGGATGAGATACACGAAGGGGTTTCAGATTATGATCCAATTGCAATGCCAGGCTTTAGTTGAGAAGTTTAATGTGAGTCCTTTGATTGTTGGGATTATTGGGCCTATTTGGTTGAGATATTTAGCTTTCACAAGGATTATGGCTGATGAATGGGCAGATGAGGCCATTCACGAATCAGAAGCTCAAACACAAGGTATGGTTTCGCACTTTTTTTGTTTTTAACAGAGTTCACTACTCAGGTGGTGAGTTTGGCACAGCCCTTAACCCATTTATTGATATCAACCAAAGTAATATTCATGTGAGTGGGACATAAAGCCTCTTGAAGTACAAGAGGAGGAGAATAGAGATCCTTGTGAAGATGCTACCTCCATTAAAAGAAAGCTAGAGCTAACTAAGAATTTAAGCAAGATCTCTAAATAAAATTTAAATGCGAACATAAGGAATATCCAACTGTTCAATTCTCAAAATGCATCTCATTTGGCCTTGAAGATCAACTTTGGTTGAGAGATATTGCTTTTTTTCATTTATATGCCATTCACCAATAGTAATGAAATCGAGCACCAGCTCCGATCCTTGTAAATATATTTATATGTTAGTGCCTCAATTATACTCTGTGGTTAATATCTGGTTAGAAATATTTTCCGCAATGCTTATATATTAATTTGCTATGAATAGAAACAATGGGTCCATCCTAATGGATAATCCTTCAATAAATATGTCCACATTGACAATTCTAATTAACATATTAATCAACACTTCGAAATGAAAATCTAAAATCTAAATTATACAATTCTTCTTTCTGGTGCTCGTCTTTTGGCCTCATTAACTTTTGCATTCCAGGGGAAGGCAACGAATTTGAGCTTAGTTCTAAGCCTGGTGTAGAACCGGTCAATCTACTGGGCCAGCGTGCAGTAATGATATGGTATAGATCTCTCAGCAGTGCAATCCCGTTATCTTATTCTTTAGCCATCTCTTTTCTAGTTTGTCATTTGGCCAGAGAGGCAATTTTGCCCACAGATATTTTAAAGTGGGCTATTGAAGGAAAGCTCCCATATTATGCCGCATATGTTGAAATTAAGAAACAGCTTGGTTCTCACTCCATGGCGGCTTGTCCTATCAGTGTCAGTCGCATGTTCAGACCCCTCCAAGTTGTTTCACCACAGAAATTAGAATCAATGGCGGCTGATATTGCACGCAAAATTCAATTGGAATTGCCTTCGGTAAACTTTTGTGCTATAGCTTCTCGTTATTGCAGGCAATTATCTCTTCCTACCAGCAAGATACTTTCTGTGGCATGCCACACTTGTGAATGGTCTATGCCTCCTGAATTGTATTTGTCGGCTAACGAGCTCAGGCTACCCGCACGAGTTTGTGTGATGTCAATACTCATTGTTGCAATAAGAATTCTTTTCGATATTAACGGTTATGGAATATGGGAATCGAGTTTGTCTAGTTCCATGTTTTCATTATCTCAGTGCAGAAGAAATGGAGATAACAAACATCAATGCTCTAGTAATTTAACAGATGATACTAAGGACTTGTTATTAAATGATTTAGTGCCTGATGACGTTAAACCAGATGTTCGGGATGCTAGATTGAGTGTTGTAGAGCTTTTAAAGATTCTTGAAGAAAAATACAATGAGCTGGGTGATGTATACGGTAATGATTATGAATCATAATTTAGATGAAGTATTTTTGTCTTTAGTTTCTTTATTACGGACTTGGCAGATAGTTACTCTAACTTCTTTTCGTACTTTTACAGAGTATTCCCGAGACTTGCCTTCATATCTTCAGTATTGTAAGGATGTGGTTTTTTCGGGTTTACAACCATCGTTTGAGGATCATGAAGAAGAGAAGTTGATAGAGGAGTTATGGGACATCTATCAAAATTCGAAGGTATCCAAATTATTTAATCCCCCAACACCCCCCTTCATCTCCCTCCTCCCTCTTTGGTCAGGATGTTACTTTGGGCATAAGTCAAGTTTCATATAATGCTATGGAAGTAGTTTTAGAACTCACAAATTATTACTATTTATGAATAATGGAAACACAATTTTAATATTTTCATCTTTTTGATCTAAATTTTTTTTATGTTTTCAAATTTCAGACATTTAATTTTTTTTCAGGAAATATGTATGCATAAATGAACCCTCAATTGAAATCAATTTTATGCACTTCATTATTATTTACAGACTGTTTGAGGCGCATTAATAGGAAAGAAAAATAAAATATGTGACCGTTAGTTTCAAAAAATTTGAATTGGTGTGGAATAAAAAGTCAAACATTGCGGCTCAAACAGTTGGATTTCTCATTTTATTGTCTGAATAATGCACCTCAAACAGGGGCTTAATTGATAACTGAACCATGTGCATTCTCATCTGAGGTAACGTTTTCATGCTTGGAGATAATATTATACATGAACAGTTCGAAAATTGATGTTATTAGGATGCTGGAACTTCGGACGACGTAAAAGTCAGTGGCTTGCCCAGCAAAAGATCAAGGAATTTCAACGTTAATAGAGATGAGGATATTAAAAGAGTTTGGGATGATCCTATACTGTGCGAGTCATCTCAAAAGGGTAGTACACCACATCATCGACATTATGAATTGCAAGATAGCATGGATCAGAATAAATTTTCTAACAGTGATCAAGATCCAGCGCACGGAGTTCGACCTTCAATGGAGTCCTATAAAGATAGAGCAATAAGAGATTTGAAGTCCGATATGGAAGAGAATAGATTTTGTTATATTCCACCTAGAGTTAATATCAAGAATAAGGACTATGTGCACTATGTCAGGAAAAAGAAAGGAGGTACCTACATATATGCTGTACATGCAGATTATTATATCTTGCTTCGATCTTGTGCAAAGGTTGCTCAGGTTGATATAAGGACTATGCATAATGGGGTCTTGAGTTTTGAGAGGAGACTGAAATGGCTGGAAAAGCGAATTGATCATTCCTTGCACTTGAAACAAAATTCTAATGACTTTTGTGACTATTGCTGCGATGAGGTTGTGAAAAATATTGGAGATGATTCTATGCCATTTTCACAGTCGAATACGTGAATAATATTTATTTATTTCTTTGGAAGCCATTTTCATTCTTTTTTTAAATCGATATTTTCTTACGAATTGATTGTTGATCACCAGCTAACCGTCTCTAAATGTCTTCCTCTTTCGTATGCATTCTACGTCAGTTGGTATCTCAGCTTACTTGTTCCTCTGATTGAATCCTAATTAAAAGTTATAATTATTGGCACTGTTTTTCAGCAAAAAAAGAACTATTCATGGCATTGTTCATTTTCCATCGAGCACAGCTAGTGGACTCATTCTGTTGTGCTGAATTGGTGAGTGCAATTCTAAAGCTCATCATCCACTTTTGTGTCTCAGTTGGGTATACTTTCCTCTTACTTGAGAATGTGTCATTATTAGCTTAGTGGTTTTGGTATTTTAAGATTAACTATCTTGCAAATTTCTGATTGATTGGAATAAAGCAAGTTATGATTTTTTTTTTGATATTGCTGCTGAAGTATGATTCGAAACGGTATCCTATCTTTCAATTTCACTATTCCTAAGTGGAATCTCTCTCAATATATATCTTTTGATGTTTGGTACAAGACATGGATGAATTGCTTGATTTCCGTATTTTGACACATAAACTGGTTCGAAAATGGGTCATTTGTTGTTGGTCTAGTTACCCAAGTTTACATTGAATTAAGCTCTTTATATCGATGGGTTTTACAGAAATTTTACAAATATGCATGTGGCATTAATGAATTGGCTTATTGAACTGTGTTTTTTGTTCAACATCCAATTAAATGTTGATAGCTGACAATTTGTCAAAAAATTGTCAACCAACCCTGTACATGTGGCAGGATTGATTTGCATTAATGCCAAGACTTGATCTTCTTTAGTATGTCCTTAATACAGTTTCATATGCTGATTTCTGCTTTTCTGAGTGCCAAATGTAGTTGCCTCAATATGTGCACCAAATACTTTGTATTCCAGAAAACTGATTACGCAAATCCATGTTGAGTTCACATATAATTTGATGTGACATTCTTGCTGTGTTAGCTCATTCTTTCAAAACTCATTTTCAACAATACATTTTTCAATAAAATAGTATTTGATATTATTTTAATAATTTTTCCTTACTTTTTAACAACATATTTATCATCATATCACTATTTAAAATGCATTATTTCCTCATTAATATTCATCAAACGCACTTTTAATCGTTACTCAACATAATCAATTAAGGGACAATACTCAGAAAAATAAAAATATATTAATGAACACTAAATAAAAATAAAAATCGGGATAAGACGAATAAGAAAATAAGGAGAAGTCGAGGTGCCTCTATTTGCATGGGCGCACTCACAAAAGGTTTATCCCCTTATTTTCCAGGCTGTAATTATTTCAGTATGTGAAAATTTAACATCAGATAGGGAGATACGGTCTAATTGGAAAACAAAATGTTGAGTTTTATATAAAAATCATTGTAAGCATTCTACAAAACCTGTCGTATTAACATCTCAGCCCGTAAACTTAATACAGAAGAATTAGTAGTAAAACATATCAAAGAAATTAGAGTAATGCCCTTTGTCGTATTTCTCTTCCTCGTATTCAAACAAGTCGTATCAAGCATGTCCATCGTCCCTCCCATAAGGTTAGGGGTAGGAGATCAACATTTACCAACGTGAAACGATACCCTCTACAGTTACAAACTGACAAATGAAACCAAAGATATACACAATTGAACTAATCTTAAACAATCTCAGCAGTTGTTGCTTGGGAGGCATCACTTGGTAAGGCCTTCATAGAAGGTGAATTTAGTGCAGAATTTGATGACTCGATGGTAAGGCCTTCATAGATGAGCTATTATGGTCATCCTTGGTCTTACCCCATAGCACCAGGTACACCCCAACCACTATAACAATCCCTCCTACAACCCTGCAATTCCCATGTATACAATCAAGAAAAAGAAATAATATATAGTGAGTGAAACAGTAGTAATGAGAGACAAGAAAATTTACTTTCCCAATTCCAATTGCTCTGATAAAATGAAACTGCTCATGACAGCAACAATCAACATGGTTAGAGGATTAAATGATGTTAAAAACACTGTTCCTTTTTCTTTTAATACATATCCTGAAATATAAGTAACAAGTCCTGAACAGAAAATTCCCTGCACAAAACCATATATACAAGTTTGGATCCATGTATAATATTCCAAGATACACAAATCAAATATCTTACTCCGTAGACATAAGCTAATAGTTTAATATCCCAATGGATCGACCACATCGTAACATTAATGCCCTTCTCAAACACAATAGATGCTATGAAGCCTTCAACACCACCCGCTGCACTTATCATAGCCGTGAGGAAGAGTAGAGCTTTGTATGACTCCAATGTTTTTTCCTGCATTCATTATTTTTTTATGAGTTAAACGTTTCATGGTTTTCTTAGTTTAATTTTGTTTTAAATTTTCTTTGAGGATCATGTTGGTGCTATCTTCGGAGTGATTGGGGCAAAAAGTAGACGAAGTTGGAGAAAATTTTGTTGGACTCTAAGTCGAAGAAACTAGTTGGAGAAACCGCAACAAACCTGTTTAGAACATCAAATCAAATATGTTTCACAAGATAACTCCGCAGAGGATTCTTACACATGTTTGCAGAAGATATTTGCCCCCACTTGGGGGATGCACACAGGTAAGCAAAAATGACTCCAGGATCGTGTTATGTATTTCCGGATTACAAAATGTGAACAAGCTTTGAAAAAGAGAATTTAAGTATGCAAGAAAATATAGCTTTTAAGGAGGAATATGAAGGAGAATCTATCATTTTATATATTTTGCATGGTTTTCACATATGAAACCAAGAATTTTATTTATAGAATTGTTAAGCAACTCTTCTCAAGAGTCAAAAGACATCAACAATCGGACAAAACATGGACAGGCAGAGTCGGGGACGCCTGTCTACAAGCATAGGCTCGGCACCCAGGGGGTCTAGTGCATTTGCCTTGCCGCCCCAAAGCCTAACCTGCCCCCGTTCATTATCAAATCTTCCTAAGCCACAGTTTGAGCCCCATTTTTTTTAAGAATACATTTTTTCAAAATTCATTTTTAATCACATATTCTCTCATAAAATAATTATACACATATTTCAAAAAAATTCTTTGACTCCTGAAAGTTAATAAATGTATTTATTGGTGTTCAAGAGCAACAATGTTTGAATTTTTTTTTAACATGCCACTTGGGTTTAGAGATGGCAAAAAAAACCGCCCTGTCTCGGGGCGAAAAAACCGCCCCGAGTGGATTGGCAGGGCGAGGAGGGGCGCCCCATCTTGGGTCGCGGGGCGGGGCGGAGATGCCCCGCCCTGTGAACCGTTAAAAAAAAAAAGTATCCATGTATTTTCTGTTAGAATACATGATGAATAAATGTTTTTTGGAAGTAGAGTTATGGATTTATGTTCTTAAATTTGATGAACAATTTTTTTTGGAAGTAGAGTTATCTTTTTCCTTAACTGTATAACTGAAAATCTTTTAGAGCAAAAAAAAATTATAAAAAAAATAAATGGGACAGGGAAACGGTCCTGCTGCTCGCCTCGCCCCGAGACGGGGCGGGGTAGGGGCGCCCCGCCCCTATGCCATCCCTACCTGGGTTGGGATTAGAATGATTATAAATGACCGTTGACGGAACGTATTCCCACAAAAATTAATGTCCCACGCACACTGATTCATACATTTAGAGCTTGTTTGGGAGAGATTTTTGGGGGAAGAATTGATTTTGAATAGTGATAGGATGGGAAATGTGTGGTTGAAAAAGAAGAAAAAATTATTGATGTGATAGAAAATATTATTTTATTGGTTGAAAATGAGAATTGATTTACTGTAGAAAATTTTAATTCCTCCCAAACAGGGCCTTAGAATCGAAAGTTCTACAATACGCTCAAAGTAGGTTATGTTTCGGATTGCTTTAAGAACGTCAAATTTTTATTGTCAAATTCGATGAATTGGAGAAGCCAACTTGTTCATATTAATTTTAATCATCATTAATAAAATTAACATTTTTTTCTGTCCAAGATCTGTTGGTATTTTACGTCTATTTAATTTATTTATTTATTCCTATTGTTTTGTTGAGTACGAATTTTGTACCCATTCGATTAGCTTTTTCTAAACTACAGCTGTTGGTTATCGTCTAAATTAATTTATGTAAAAGAACACACTGTTTATATATAAACAATAAGAAAATAACGAATAATTTCAATACTAATTTGTTGTGATAATAGGTATAACAAATGCTATTCTTTGAGTAAAAAATCGGTAAAAATTATCCAACTTAATATCATCTACCTAATAATATAAATTTTAATTTTAATTCAAAAAATTAAAAAAATAAAGAAAAGGAAAAGGAAATTACTGTTCATCTTCTCCCAAACCCCTCACCCTCCATAACCAAAACCCAAGTGAAGTGAAGTTCTCGCGTGAACTAAGTTTTCTTCTCCAGAGCGGAAAACAGTTTCTTACCATTTCTGCTGCAACATAAACATGAGGTTCAAGGCATATGTTAAAATTCCATTAACAATTTATCTCTTGTAGCTTAATCAATTTTTTTAAAAGAAAACAGACAATTCTGTAAATAATAAACTAAAGATCCCCATAATGATAGTAAAATATGGTTCCATAACCTAAGATTTCTCCAGAAGTGCACATAACTAAGCAGGCATTTATTTCTTACCATAAGGGAGGGGTTCAAGGTATGCACTAAAATTCGATCAAAGTTTATTTCTGTAATTTAAATCAAAAAAATTTAAAAGAAAATATATAGCAGTGAACTCTGATTCACAAGCAAAATTCGTTATATGTATTTTCCGAAGGGAAATATCGAGTCTGTTCCTTTTCTTCCACCACAATAATCTGCTCTCTTTTGTATCCTCTTGGAAATGTCCAGAGGAAGAGTAGTAGTTCCCCTCCAATAGCTTTCTGAATTTTGGGGCTATGGAGGGTGGGGTGGGGGATTTTGGGAGAAGATAAACAGTAATTTTTGAATTATTTTTTATATGCTAATATTATAAAGTTACCATTTTACCTAATTTTTTGGCCTACTTTTTAACTAAAAAAAAAAAAAAACTTTTCTCAGAAAAAATCAACGCTACAAAAACGCTTAGGGCGTGTTTGATACGCCTTATTTTCCAGGCAACTAGGAAAATATTTTCAAATTTCCACTTATTTGGAAGATTGATAGAAGAAATTTTCCACAGAAAATATTTTCCTCATAGAAGGTGAATTTAGTGCAGAAATTTGATGAATTGATGGTAAGGCCTTCATAGATGAGCTATTATGGTCATCCTTGGTCTTACCCCATAGCACCAGGTACACACCAACCACTATAACAATCCCTCCTACAACCCTGCAATTCCCATGTATACAATCAAGAAAAAGAAACAATATAGAGTGAGTGAAACACTAGTAATGAGAGACAAGAAAATTTACTTTCCCAATTCCAGTTGCTCTGATAAAATGAAACTGCTCATAACAGCAACAATCAACATGGTTAGAGGATTAAATGATGTTAAAAACACTGGTCCTTTTTCTTGTAATATATATCCTGAAATATAATTAGCAAGTCCTGAACACATGATTCCCTGTACAAAACCATATATATAAGTTTGGATCCATGTATAATATTCAAAGATACACAAATCAAATATCTTACTCCGTAGACATAAGCTAATAGTTTAATATCCCAATGGATTGACCACATCGTAACATTAATGCCCTTCTCAAACACAATAGACGCTATGAAGCCTTCAACACCACCCGCTGCACTTATCATAGCCGTGAGGGAGAGTGGAGCTTTGTATGACTCCAATGTTTTTGCCTGCATTCATAATTTTTTTATGAGTTAAAACGTTTCCTGTTTTCTTAGTTTAATTTTGTTTTATTTTTTCTTTGAGGATCATGTTGGTGCTATCTTCGGAGTGATTGGGGCAAAAAGTAGACGAAGTTGGAGAAAATTTTGTTGGACTCTAAATCAAAGAAACAAGTTGGAGAAACCGCAACAAACCTGTTTAGAACATCAAATCAAATATGTTTCACAAGATAACTCCGCAGAGGATTCTTACACATGTTTGCAGAAGATATTTGCCCCCACTTGGGGGATGCACACAGGTAAGCAAAAATGACTCCAGGATCGTGTTATGTATTTCCGGATTACAAAATGTGAACAAGCTTTGAAAAAGAGAATTTAAGTACGCAAGAAAATATAGCTTTTAAGGAGGAATATGAAGGAGAATCTATCATTTTATATATTTTGCATGGTTTTCACATATGAAACCAAGAATTTTATTTATAGAATTGTTAAGCAACTCTTCTCAAGAGTCAAAAGACATGTTGTTAGCCTGTTTTGTACCTGTCGCAGAGTCGGGGACGCCTGCCTACAAGCATAGGCTGGGCACCCAGGGGGTCTAGTGCATTTGCCTGGCCGCCTCAAAGCCTAACCTGCCCCCGGTCATTATCAAACCTTCCTAAGCCCCTGTTTGAGCCCTATTTTTTCAAAACTCATTTTTAATTACACGTTTTTCAATAAAATAATTATACACGTATTTTAAAAAAAATTCATTACTTTATAACCACATATTCTCCAAAAAATCAATATTCCATAGTACATTTTAGGCTTAATCATTAGGGCTGTCTGTGGGTCGGTTCGGTTCGGTTCGGTTCTGAAGAGACCCGAACTGACCCAAAACTTTCGGGTATTTAATAAATGGACCCGTCGGGTCCAAATATAATTATGGAACCGTTCGGGTTCGGTTCCGTTCGGTTCGGTTCGGGTCGGTTCGGTTCCGTTCGGTTCCGTACCATAATTAAATTTTTTAATATTTTCAGCAACACTACATAAATACAATTAATAACATTTCATTCGTAA